CCATCAATATTCTCCCTCTTTTGGAATAAATTTGGTTTTATTTATTTGTTTATTTTTGTTTTTACATCCTAACCAAAATTTCCCTCCATCCTCTCCTCTCAGTTCTTCCCCCAAACTCTACTCTTCCTGCTCCCCATCCATTCCTCCTTTTCTTTTTTCTCTTCAAAAATGATCAGGCCTCCTGTGCATATCTGCCTGCCACGTTATATCATGTTGTGGTGAGACTAGGCATGACTTCTTACATTAAGGCAGGACATAGCAATTCAGTAGGAGGAATGGGTCCCAAAAGCAGGCATTAGAGACAAGATCCGCTCCCACTGTTAGGTGTCTCAAAAGAAGACCAAGTTATACAACTATAAAATATATGCAGAGGACATAGGTCAGTCCCATGCATACTCCCTGATTGGTGGTTCAGTCTCTGAATCATTATGAGCCTAGGTTATTTAGTTCTGTGGGATGCTTGTGGGGCTACTGACCCCACTAACTCCTACAAATATTTAATTGTTTATTCATTATTTTATGTGCATTGGAGTTTTGCCTTCATGTATGCCTGTGTGAGGGTGTCGAAACCTCTGGTCCTGGAGTTACAAACAGTTGTGAGCTGCATGAGAATTTTTTCATTATTTTTAAAAATTAAGTATTTCATATGATGAGTGTATAGATATTTTCTGATTAATATTTAAAATAATAACATTTATCTATTTACTTATTTAGAGATGAGGAAATAAATACATACGTACGATAAAGAGAGAATGAACATGCAATATATGCCATGCCATTTTGTCATTCTGTCCATATGGAGGTCAATGAACAAATTAGGAGGAGTCAGCTCTTTCCTTCCACCCAGTTACCCATCTCATTGGCCCTTCCCTGGTACTTTTCATGATCAACTCGTGGCTTTTTGCCTTAGAGTGTTTTCTTGTGGTTCTGAAAGTTAGAGAATATTTTAATATTAAAGGGCATTGTGAAAAATTTGTGCAGAATTTTGTTTCAAATGAATGATACTGTTAATAAACATAACAGGCACTCAGAGTTGAAGGCAGGAAAGAGCAAACACATTAAGCCGGCCACTAGGAAAGTTCTGCTGCCTCCTTGGCTGGTGTCTGGGAGTTAGGATTCCAGTTTATCTTTATATTTATATACGCATGTATATACAGTTAGATATGGTTGTACATATTAGGTATATCATATAGATACTTATGAAAATATGCACACAACTATAGTCATAGTTCTGCATACAACATGCATACCATACACATGCATACCAATGCCACAAACGTTGTTTGTTTCTTTTTAATTTCTTGTTTTGCCAATTTATTATACATCTATTTTAATTTCAAACTATAATTCTCTCTCTCTCTTTGTGTGTGTGTGTGTGTGTGTGTGTGTGTGTGTGTGTGCGTGCGTGCGCGCGCGCACGCGTGCATGCAAAGGTGTAGACACATATATGTTTTTAAATGTATGAATGTGGGCACATATTTTTGTGTGTTGTATGGAAACAAGCATGTATGTATTTTGGCACAACACTGATGGTGCCTTCATCCTTTACGATGGGGTAGTAGCACTATTACTGTGGGGTGGGGCATGCTTGATCATGCTTCATTCTGTGCATGGAACTTCCATGCTTCTAGAGCACTGATGTTGTCTAAGATGTTACTAACAATGTGTAGATGTTTCAGCGTCTTTCTTAGATGGAGATCTACAATCGATGTCACATGTTAAGTCCCTCAGATACCATTTGACACCAAGCACAGATAAGTTTTCAGTTTCTCCTTTCTCCTCCACTGCTCTTTCAGATTACAATAAATTACCCCCATCAAAAAGTCTAACAATAGTTACTGGCCATCCAGAACTTGGTGAAGAGCAGGAAATTGTGGGTTCCCAGGATCCAATGATGTTGACAGGAAGACTTCCAGGTGGGGTGTTCCTAATGCAACTGCTGCCACAGGCATCCAGGCTGAGACAGCAAAGAGGCATCTCTGCTGGGCAACTGTGTAACGTCTCTTCTTCCAGATTCTGCTGTTGTAGACAGAAAAATTATTTCAAGCTCTGTGATTAGATAGCTGGTTTAATTGAGGCCACCCTCCCTAAATCCTGTCTGGCTTTGAGGGTAGCACAATGCTAATACTTCATCTAGAAATCACAGGAAGAATTTCCCCACAGTTTTTCTTTTACAACTGAGATTTGATTGGTTGAGGACCAGTAGAAAAAGTTGTTAATTCAGTTTTGTTTTCTTTTTTTTTTTTCTTTGCATGCCACAATTCTTAAGTGTAGGTTTCCATCTACAGTAAGATAGGGGAATGGAACGCTGTGATACCTTGACTAACTCCTCAGAGAGCTAAGATGCCTCCTTCCCAATACCCTTCAAATGTCGCCTTAGGGCAAGAAAAAAGCATCCATGGTAAAGAAGTGTAGCAGAGTCTTTTGCTGTTGTTCCCTTTGTGGGAGGGGCCAAGTAGGCACAGAGTCAAATCACACAGACTCAGGGAGAATGTGGAAACAACAAGCTCAGTTTATTCAGTTAGAGGCAAGCCTTATATACCATCCACCCCTCCATGGGGGCGGGAGGTCTGATGAATATGCATGAACCGGTGTGACATGGATGTCTCTCATTGGTCCAGGTCATTTGCAGATCATGTTTCAGCTGCTGTTGCTAAGACCATTAGGCAGACCCAGGCTGCCTCTCAGAAAGTATCTTTTTCAATTGTTTGGGGCAGCTGGCCCTCAAGTCTGTTAAGGATGAGTCATCCCACAAAGAAGAATAAAAAGGGAAACCAATAATGAGGACCCTGAGTTAGAAGGATTGCTGGAAATCTGAGACCAGCCTTGAGGGATAAACTTTCAGGGAAGGAGAGAGGCATGAAGGCAAGGGACACTAAGAGATTGGGAAGCGGTATGCCCAGAGTGGGATATGTCCATTGTGTTCTACTACTAATCTCCACTTGTGTTTGTTAGAAAAGGTGACAACAGTTGAGGCAGAGTCAGCACCTGACCCAGGACTCCACTTTCCAAATGGGACAGGATGGACTGCTGTTACACTGCTATCCAGTGAGTGACAGCCTCAGAAGTCATCAACTACCATGATGAGAAGAGGTAGGGCAAGCCTCATGGCTTTCTGCTTTCTGGTCAATCCCACTTCAAGGTGTGTTTAATGATGGTGAAGGGACAGGCTGGAGGGCAAAATTTCAAACAGCTCTGTTCCCCAAACCCAGGTACTGCAGATGGCACAATAAAAGCTTCATAAAGAGAGACTCTTGATGATAAACTGAGTCTCAGAAATGATAGACCTGTATTTGAACCGTATACATATGGATTGAGTCTGACCCTTCCCCAATGACCTTCCTCTTCTCAGCAGTGAGCTTCTGTAGTAGGACAGGACAATTGGGTGGGAAGTTGTCCCCAAGCAATGATGATAAATGTAGCCTTCGTACACCTCCCCTAATTACCAGTCCAAAGACATCTGCATAGCTTGACCACTTTTGTGCTTCACTGAGCAGAGTGTGGCCTGGCCTCTGTGACACTACACAAGGAATCATTGTCATGGTTACATGTGTGCCCTTGACAGCTCACTCTATTAAAGTGGGCTATGATTCACAACAATAATAACATGCGCAGGAATCAATCTGGTAAATCAGTGCAGACATTCTTTGTGGGAAGACCTGATCTCACATCAGTGAGTAGACATGACAAGGAGCTTTCTTGAAAGGGATCACAAAGGAATGGTTCATTGTTCCAGGGGTTCAAGGTAGAAGACAAATGACATTTTGAGAAGTGTTTCCATAGCAAGAACAAGAGGAATACCCTCATAGTGCATGCCATGAATGACATACAGGAGAGGACACCATGCCCACACTGCATAAGAGGCCCAATGAAGATCTGTACAACCCACATGTGCCTATCAAGGCAGCCTCTAGATCAATAGAGGACCAGCCTCTGCTGTTAAATTAACTGACTGTGATATGCCTTCATGGGAGCAGACCACAGAAGGAAGGAAAGGCAGCAGAGACCTTGTTAGGACTCTCTTTTGTTATCTTTACTGAGAAGCAACAATTTTGCACATGGTGGCCACAGTCACCAATGCAACAGCAAGGACTCTCCCAAGCACCACCGTCTCCTCCCTACTTCACCTTTCTATTTGTGTAATATGTAGTTTATTTCATCTGGAGTCTGCGCTGTGAGTTGGTGTCTGTGCCCATTTCCCTTGAAAGAGCCAATGTTCCTCAGAATATACTTGAGATGCAAGAGAAGCACAATAAATACAGTCTTCTATCAATATCCACATGTTATTTTATACAGAAAGCCTGAACATAATCCAAGGCTAATTACAAATACAAAATAGCTTCAGTCAAACCTCCATTCAAAAGTATCCCCCACATCAACCCTAAGAGAAACAGGTACCAACAGTCCAAGAATATCAATGTAACCAGGCTTAACTTTAACACAAAAGCTGACTGGATACAGACACACCCTGAAAGTACCCCAGGCCAACATGCCCCCTGAAAAAACCCTTGCTAAACACCTAAAGTGAAAGTAGACCAGGATTAAACACTGAACTATGATGTCAAGAGAGAAGTATTCCAAGGCCTAAGGATGAACTTGATGAAGACCAAGAATAACGCCTACATTAGCAATGGCTTCCCTCACCCAGAAAGGCCAGGGACCAATCCTAGGAATGAAAAAGCCAAATCATGACCTAAAAGAGGCCTTCACCAAAACCTGAAGCTGAATAAGCTCTGGCCCAGAGGAAAACAGAGGTATTCCTGGGCAAGTCCATTAAATGGAAGAGCCAAGGGCAAAGGAGAAGAAGGAAAATTAACAAAATGAAATGAAACAAAAAGAAAAGAAAAGACTGCCCATGCCTAACCTTGACCATGAAGAAGGCTGGCCCCAACCAAGAGGGAGGTGAGTCCTACGCTATCCCTCAGAAGAAAAAGACCTGGCTCAAAGAAAGAAAAGGAGAGTATCTATGCCCCAACTTTACCTGGACTGAAGCCAGGGCCCTCACCAAGATGAGAATTTGCCTCAGCACACCTCTGACCCTGAAGAAGATTGGGACAACATAAGAAAGGACATGGGCCCAGACCAATCCCTCAAATGAAAGAGGCCAGGGGCAAAGCAGGAAAAGGAGAACACAGGAGCCTAACACTTTTCCTGACAAAAGCCTGAAACAAAACAGGGAGAGAAGAAGACCTGGGACACTCTCCAAATGAAGAAGGAGGTCTGGGGCAAATATTGACTGGGGAAGAATTTAGAGCTCATACAAAACTCAGAACAAACTAAAGTGGAAATGTTACAGGCCAACCATAGACCTTGCTGAAGATAAACCACAAACTCTAAAATCAAGAGAGCTCCTGCCAACCCAATGAGAGATACGTGGTCAGACTTAATGTTGACCCTAGAAAGTGCAGTGTGAAGAGACAATTTAAATGAAGCCTGCTCCAACCACAATGAACTCTTCCTAGGCCAAACCCTGATATCAAGTAGCCAAGGACCAAGCCCTGTGTGAAAGGAGTCCAGGCAATCCAAGAGAAGAAACATCCTGACCATAAACTGCTATCAGTTGAGACTTGCAGCCTACTGAGCAAGAATTAAACTCAGAAGCCCTGAACTTTAAGGATGTGTGGGCAGAATATTCTCTTCTTCATCCAACACCCTAACCAAAAGGGAGCCAGAAACACCTTGTCAGTTGAGCCAATGGCTCCCTAACAGATGAAAGCAAATGGACATCAGTAACACATGTGGTAGTTAGAGGAAACCTTGAGGCAGTCTGATCCTAGACCTCAATTTCACTTGATGTTTTACAGTCAATCAAGGCCTCAAAAAAGACACACAGAAGAATGTTTATTGAAGATCTTAGACTCACAGACTTCATGTACAGATATGTTGCCATCCTGAGAACCAACTATGTGGATCACATACATTCCATTTACAACACTTATCATCCTCAGTACATGAAAGCCAGGATGTGCCACTCACCATGATCCAAGCTCTCATCTGAGTAACCAATGAATATGGACATAGCATAATACAAATGGTGTTATAGTGCATGCTGTTGTGGTCTGATAAAACTCCAAATCTTGACTTCAGCTGATATTTTTAGGAACAAACACGTCTCAAAAGTAATTTTCTACCAAGAACCTTGGACTAACCCAAAATCTGCTTCAATGATTCTTTTCTACTTCTTTTAACAGAAACATGGTCCATAATGTTCCTCTTTTCTGACATGATTTCAGAGAGTTGCACTTAATATAAAATATTTTATCAATTGTAGAAATGATTTCTCAAAGAAGGATCCCATTGTATTTTTTTAAACTCCCGGGATGATGTGTAATGCCAATCACCAATGCATTAACAAATACAGACTTTTCTCACATTTTGTCAGAGTTCCTCCCATATGTAATTTTTCTTATTCTGACTTTTCTTGGTTGACATTCTGGAGTGACCCACCTCATCCTAACTTCTCAACTGCAGTCACTTCTATATTTCATTTCATCAACTTGCTGCATCTCCTCCTTTCTTAAAGAATTCCAGACTAATCATTGATTAGGGTGTCCTCATGCCGGTGACCTCAATGCTAGTAACCCCCCTACTAAGTCTGTTGTCTTTATAAAAATAACATCCCCCAAAGACAATCAGTCCAACATATTCTAGGAAAGTATGAAATGGCATCATACATTGGTAGTCTTAAGTCCCCCATTTCCCTCTGACTTTTCTCTAAAGTATGTCCTTAAAAGTCAGGTGATGGGGATTTAGCTCAGTGGTAGAGTGCTTGTCTAGCAAGCACAAGTTCTTAGGCTTGGCCCTCAGCTCTAAAAAAAAAGTGGTCTAAATTTTATCTTCAGAGTGTCTAGCCTTTCGCATATTCCTGACCCAGAGACTCTTGCCTCTCCATTACAATAATCCATATCAACCTGTTGTGTTACAACCTTTCTGTATCATATGCTGTAGGCAGGATTCCTTGTTCCTTTTCTAGAGTTCTATACAAAACCTGGAGCATTCATTTAGAAAGATTTTGGGAAGTCTAGAATGCCAGGGCTCCCTGGATGACCAGTGTCTGTCCCACCTCACCTCATATATCAGCCTAAAGTAAAAGTGAGACCACTGAGAGATAATTGGAATGGAACTAAATTTGAGGGCTATTTCAGGGAACCAGAAGTGCTAGAATTGTTCAGATTCAAAAGGATACAGATGATGAAAGAAAAAAATCCAGAGTTCTTCACCCATAACTAGTTCTCTGACAAATATGGAGGAAAAAGGACAAATGTTATGACTCTATTTTGCCTTCAGTGGACACAATATCCACTGTATTGTATAGCCTGAAAAACTGTATATACTCTATTTCTTTCTTTCTTTCTTTCTTTCTTTCTTTCTTTCTTTCTTTCTTTCTTTCTTTCTTTCTTTCTTTCCTTCCTTCCTTCTTTCTTTCTATTTATCTTTCCATCAGCTATCTATCCATCAATCCATCTATCCATCTATCTCCATCCATCCATCCATCCATCCATCCATCCATCCATCCATCCATCCATCCATCTTTTCCCACTACTACTCTTACTCTTCTATTTCTCCTTCTTCTTGCTCTTCCCTTATTCATCCAGGATATTATAATCATTTTTGCCTCCCTAAGTTTTTACAGGGCCTTATAAAATGCTAGTTACATTAAAACAAATAAAAACTTTTCTCTGTGGGTTTTATTCTCCATATTGTCCCACCCAAACTCTTTCTAATACATATCCTCCCCTGCACCTGCTGAAATGTGACATTCCTTAGATCTCTGACACTGTGACACTAAAAATCATTTGTGTAAAAGTGTTTGTTAAAAAATGCAACTGTGCTTAAAACCAGCTAAAAACCTACATCTAAAAACTTGATACTTTAATAACTTGCAAACACATCATCTTAGTTTGTTTTTTATGACAAATATAATTTAGATATAATGAATTCAATGAGTTATATATTCAGTGTTTATTAGTTATCTGCCATGAAGTTCATAAAAAAGTTTTCTCACTAAATAAATTTTTGTCAAGAGGTAAAATCCATAGAGTTTTCTAAATGGAAATAGAAAGATGTACACAAAGCCAGGAAACAGAGTTAATCATAAGTCAGAAGTTTTATGGAAGATAAAACAAATCAAGATCATATATGAAACTACTATATTCATTAAAATTCCTTAGGCCAAAATTCATTACACTTATATATAATTAGGATGTAATTCTCTCTTTGGAATAAAGGTGATAGAAGTTGTCACATAGTTCAACCTTTTTTACAAAAAAAAAAAGAAAGAAAATCAATGCTAGAACTTGCATTTGAGAGCCTTAAAATGGCCTACAAAAAGAGACTGTGTTACTCAGGGAGTATTCTGTCTCTCAACTGCTTGAATTACAAAAGACTTTCAAAAGGTCAGTGGAACATCCTGCCAAAGCTTGGCTCATGGGATTGTAGGCTATGAGAAAACATGAGATCAATCTGAGTGCTGTAGAAGTAGGAAAGTAAGTCATGTACTTACTTACACCTCCTTGAAATACAGGCTATCTAATCTAATGAAATTTGAGAGAGATTATTCCTGATGGACTGGCTCACAGGAAGCATTGGGGATGCTTGGTTATCACAGGCAGAGGTCTCACGCAGACTGGAAGATGATGGAGGAAGGATGGGGTTTTGCTGATAAAATACATGTGAAAGAAGCAGTGCTTTACGGCCAATTCACTGGGCATGATGGAGCACTGGGCTGTGCTTACAGAAGAGGTCAAACATAAAATGGTTGATTCACCAGGGACTTCTGGACTGGTGTTTATAATTAGTGCCTTTGCAGAGCTCCATGGGAGAATGTGAACTTATAGAAACAACTAACATCTTAAGGAAAAGGTGAAGTGTTGTGTAACAGTTTTCCTTTTTATGACATGAAATACTTTTATATTATTTTTGAGATTATAATTACATTATTTTCTCCTCTCTTTCATCCTTCAAACCCTCCCAATACTCTTCCTTGCTCCATTTCTAATTAATGACCTCTATTTTCATTAATTGTTGCTACATGATTATACATATATATGTACATGAAGATATATATATATATAGTTATAGTTATAGTTATAGGTATAGGTATAGTTATATATATAGTTATATATAGTTATATTTCCTAAATGAAACCAATCATTATGTATAGCTAGCATATATGTTTTCAGGAATGACCATTTGATATTGAGTATCCAACTGGTGTGCTCTTTCCTGGGCAGGACTATTCCCTTAAGTCCCAGAAAGTTCTATGAAAAAAGAGAAGAGGTTCATAATATCCAGCAATTAAACCATGGCTGGGAAAGCTGAAACTTACAGGATTAACAAGGCCCTTCCATTTCCAAGGTTAAATGGATGATAACTAAGGAGAACTGAAGAAATGAGACCCTCTGTCCCATTCAGCTGCAAACAAGTCAAGCAGACACATTCAGAGTTCTAGTCCTCATGAGTCACCCATTCTAATGAGAGCCTTGGTGATGTCACACATTAGAGTTATTCATATTCCTATAAGTAATACCATATATATACTCCTGTATTAACCTCAATAAACTCATTAATTTGAGGGAATAGGAATCACAGTCTTCCCTGGGAGGCAGACAGATAAAGAAATGGGAACTGATAAGTAACATAAAAGGCCAACTTCTAGCTTCCTTTTCATTTTCTGTACTGAGACAGAGGCTCAGTAGGCTTTGTCTTCCACCAGCAGGCTGCCTCTTCCAGCTGTCCGGTTCAAGACAGATAGGTGTGTTCACAGTCAGTCCTGAACATGGTCACCTGAAACTGCAGGTGATCACAGCGCTTGTGAGTAATCAATGGTTATGTCATGTCCAAAGGACAGCATGTCACAGCAGTTCCCTCATGCTCAGTCAGGACATTCAGGACCCACTTCCAGGATGTGTCCTATCCTAGGGGAAGTGGTTGATTTACAGGTCCCATTTAAAAATGAGCATTCATGGTCATTTCAATATTTTGAAGTTATGAGGCTGTGCATTTGCTGCTGCATACCACAGAAAGAGAACCTCTGGCCAAGACTGAGAGCTAAAGAGATCTATGTGTAAAAAAAAAAATATTTACAAAAGAGTTGCTACTACACTAAGTAACAATAGTAGCATCATCTAAAGGGCTATGACCTGTCAAGCCAATGTCTTTTGACCAGGTACAACTAGCAGGTACTAAATCCTTCCTATAGTGCAGGCCTCACCAGATCAGAAAGAAGTTAATTACACAGTAACACTGAAGCCAATATTACACCAGTGATTTTCTCATATTCTGTATGCTACCACTTAAATTATATTTTCTTATGCTGAAATAAAAAGTCTTAATTTCGTGAGATCCTATTTGTTGATTTTTGGTCTCATTTACTATTGGACAAGAGTCCTATTCAGAAAATTCTTACCTGTGCTTAGAAGTGGGAGTATTTTCTCTACTGTGTCTTTGGAATTTTCAGGGTATCTGGTCTATGGCACATTTGGTGCAGAGCTTGTGTATGGAAGAAAATAGAGAGCAGAGTTTCATTTTCTGCATGCTGAAAACAATTTTTCACAATCAGCATATCTGAGGCAGTATCTCACATGTCAACCAATATATGAACTACAAATATGGGTGCAAAGTTAAACTAGGTACACACAAGTACATTCTCCTTACCAAATGGACCACTTTGAGGTCACCAGTCATCAGTGTTTTTTTTTATATAGAGTGATATCCACAGCAGTAATATGAGGTCCAGCTCTGACCACTCAGAACAATGCATGGCAACCATTTCAATAGAATAAATTGTCAGCAGGATTTACAGCCTGGCTCAAATACTATAGACTCCGTGGTCATTTTCTTGGGCCCCAGACCCATTTGTCACATTAGTAAAATAATATTCAGATTGCCCCATAATTCCAGCTTTAAGTGTCTTTTAAATAATTACATTTTTCACCCAATGTAATTTTTTAAATGCTGCAAAGGAGGTGGAACAAGAACATATACGCCATGTTCATTGTAAATTAAAACATTCCAGGTACAGTAGACGCTGTAATGATGGTTATGAATGAAAATTTAACATTGACATGCCTGCTGTACCACTCCTGGGTGTGCACACTGATTGAAATGAATGACACTGAATCACTACATATGTAAGATGAGTTTGACTAAAGACAATACAATACACATAAATAATGCAAGATAATTCAAAATAAAAATTATAGAAAAAAGTTGCATTATTCTCAAGAAAATTGTTCCAACTATGTATCATCAAGTTTAGAAACAGACAACTCTTTAAAAACAATTAACACATATCTTCTCTCATAAATGTTATCTAGAAAAATAGGAAAAGGGGTTAAAAATTTTTGAGGAAGTATGAGGGGAAATATTTTAAATGGAGGGAGTATAACTGGGAAACAAGGTGGTGTACAGAAACAAATGACTAATTTTATATAATTAAAAAGGACAGAATAATAAGATTGATTTTAGAAGTAACAAAACAGAAAAAGAATTACTTATTTGCACAAGGGCTCATATATTTTTATACAACTAAACATAAGGACTACATTTTTTCTATCTTTCAAACTTCTCTTAAGGTTTTTGAATGATGGGGCTAGAGTTGGCCTAACAGAAAAATGCACACTGTACTCTTTCAAAGGACTTGAGTTCAGTTCCCATCACCCATCACAGTGACCCAAAGTCAAACACCAATATCTCTAGCTCTGGGGAATCTGGAGCCTCTCCTCATCTCTGTGGGAACTGCACTCATGTGTATATACTTACATGTCTAAACACATATGTGCAATTTTCAAATCATTGTTTCATAATTTCTCGGTTTATTTTATGGACCCACGGAGGCAGAGAGGCTTGCACCCATAAAGTACATGATGTCAGTTCATTCTCCTACTCTCAGTTGTAAGAAAAAAGGATTGTGACCAAACGGAATGTAAGGACTATAAGGTCATTCTGGAACCCAGAACCATAAGAAGATAATACCAGGGAAATATAAAATAATTGGATCATGCAAGACACCTGAGTTGTACAGATTTGATGCAAATAAATCTCATAAAAGGAAAAGGCAGAATTCTTTAAAATGCCCTAGTACCCATGCTGCTACCAAAGTAAACTGCTGAACAGTAAGTTTTACTAGGGAAAGTATCTATTCTGAATAACACAAATATAATATACATGTGTGGGGTGAAAAGGGATCAATTTTCCAGGTAGACAGAACACTCCACTTGAAAAGTATTTAGGGCTGGAGAGATGGCTCAGCCGTTAAAAGCTAGGCTTACAACCAAAATATAAGAAAAGTATTTAACTACGAATCCTCCAACCTGGATGAGAAAGTGGATGGAAATGACAAATCCACAATTAAAGTTGGAGATGGGAGTAGATAAAACAAAACGAGGGGAAGTCCAACAGCTTCACTTGCAAATTTTTGTTGTGTAGCGGGTGTTGGTCGGGTTCAAGGCCCCTAGCTTTGGTACACCATCAATACTACACCTACATGATACACAGCAGCTCCCAATGCTACTAATGATGGAGAGATGATGGAGAGGTGATAGAGAGTTGGGAAAGACTGGGGCTGGGGTAGTAAAGTGCTTTACTGTTTTCTTCTTCTCTTTTGTTATTATTGTTTATTTTTATCTTATTTTTATTCCTATTTTGTTTGCCTTTGTGGCAGGACTCTACAAGATGTAGGGGCAGATATGGAGGGTCTGGGAGAGGAGTGGGATTAGAGTGTATGGTATGAAATTCCCAAAGAATCAATAAAAATTCAATGCATACATAAAAAATCAACTTTCACTTTCTACCATTT